CCAGACAATGATGCCTTCGGCCTCCTGCTTCACTACAAGTTGTTCTCCCTCATGATTAATGCAGAGTTCATCCCGTTCCTCTTTAATCTGTGGAGGCTCTGGGTCCTCCTGGTCCAGACTGGAATTCCTCCCCTGGTTGAAGTCCTGCCAATCATCCAGACCCTCCTCTTCCTCACACTTCATATTGTCTTAGAAAGTCTTGAGGAACAGTGGGACACAAGAAAATTGTTACTAATGTGATAGCAGGAAAATACACTTGTGAGCAAATATAATCTAGCAGCGCTGTACACTGTGAGCATGTTGCTCACATTGGTTAGTAAAACTGAAAGTGTGTTTCAGGAACACCATGTGAGTGCTAAATGGTAAATGGACTGATACTTTTCTACTCTCCTGGAGCACTCAAAGGGCTGACTGCAGGTTTACCCAACCTAATAACCAGTACATCTGCACAATGACTGAAAACAGTGACTGAACAGCGAGCAGTGAGGTCAGTTCCTTGATCATCAATATGCAGATTGTAATGACCATTGATCAATAACCACTGATCAAAGACTCCTTGAAGAGGTAATTTACATGAAAAGGAAAATACAATCTCTGAATCGAGGAGGGGGCCTATGGGTAAATCTTTCACCATCTTACAGTGCTGTGAGTGCAGCCGTTATTGGTACTCATGGCCATTGATCAATGGTCTTTGATCAAATTTGCATATTAACGAAAAAAGAAATTGACCTCACAGCCCATGTTTCTAAGTAGATCAATCTAAATCCCAATCTTTAAATAAATCTTATGGCAAAGTTACTTCAGTGGGCATTCTGTGTACATGCCCAGGGACCCACAGACAGCTGGGGGGCCCATAAAAGAGGCAAATGAAAAAAACAAACAAAAAAAAACAGCATTCACATATGCATAAACACACACACACACATATATACATATATATTGCCACAAATCAATAGACATTGATCAAAGACCTCCTTGACTCCCCAAGGAGGAGGAGTACCTGTGAAAAGGGAATGACAATCTCTCAATTGAGGAGGGGGCCTAATGGTCCATCTTTCACCATCTTACAATGCGGTGAGTGCAGCTCTCTGTAAATTGTATGTGAATGGACCATTGATCAATGGTCTTTGATCAGTGGTCATGACAACTTGCATATTAATGATCGTCTTGATCATTAAACTGACCTCACAGCCCATTGTTCATTCTGTGGGTTTGTTTCAAGTCCTTGTGCAAATGTACTGTTTATAAGGTTGGGGAAACCTGCAGTCAGCTGAGACTGAAGAAGTCGCTTGGATGAGTGATGAAACATTTCTACGTCCAGATGACCAGAATCTTTTGGGG